GCCTTCCAACCTTCTAAGTATTCCTTTATATGCGGTTCAGAGTTCTGGGACCAGCCCCTGAGCCTGCTTGGTCAGGTATTCTGTGTTGTTGTTGGCGGAGCTCTCTGCTATACATCCACCCGATCCGCCATCTTGTTTGTTCTCCCCCCTCTGTCCTTTTAAAGCTAAGGAAAATAAGAGTCAAGGAGGCTACATAACTTGCCTCAAAATGTGTAACTAAAAGTATCTGAGCCCAACTTTAAATGGAGGTTTGTGTGACTCTGAGGCCCTGCACACCATCGCTCCACATAAGTTGGCTTCTGGGGGTGGATGGGTGTGCTCATCTATTGCCTACTTTCTGGCAGGTTATGGAATGAGGAGCTGCTGCAGGAAGTATGTGCAGGCCTGGCAGAGGAACTGCATCTGCCACCAGATGCCCCTGGAGGTATGGTGGAGTTCCGGCGGACTCTCACCCTCAGCTTCTTCTTCAAGTTCTACCTGACAGTGCTTCAGAAGCTGGGCAAAGAGGACTCAGATGATGTGAGTGAAGGGGCCGGGCCAGGCATTCTCTGCAACACTCTCATTTGGGGATTTAAGAAGCAGGTCTGGGTGGATCTGCGGGCACTGTTGATCTGGGTTGTAAACTTGCTCCTCACCCCTGGGAGCCTCAGGACAAGGGAGTGGAGACCAGAGTCATGGTCCAGAGAGCCACCAGAGATTGACGTTAACCAGTCGGCTGGGAGTCACAGCCCTGGGCTGGGAGTTGGGGGATGTGGGCTCTTTTCTGGCCATCTGAACTTGACTATGCCTCAGCTGTGTAATCTGCAAAATGGTCTGGGAGATCAGAGGACTACTAAGAGCCGTTTTACTAGTGTAGCTGATACAACTGTGGTCTTGTAGGTTAAAATAGGACTGCAGAATGTGATGGAGAAAGCAGGTCTGCTAAAACCAAGAAGACCCGTGGTCCCTGCAGGGATGTGTATTCAGGAGAGGCCACTAGCAGAGCTGGAGCACAGTGACTGGCATTTGTATAGCACCAATCATCAGCTGGAGTCCTGGTGTGGCGTTATGGGTTAATGCGCCAGACTGCAAAGCCCCTTGAACTGCAAGGTTGGCAGTTCAAGCTCACCAGCTAGTCCTCGGAAACCCCATACAGAGTTGCTGTGGGTCGGAACCAACTCCACGGCACTTAACATAACAACAACAATGATCAGTTAATAGAGCCCTGGTGGTTAAGTGGCCAAAGTGTTGGGCTGCTAACAACAAGGTTGACAGCTCAGCAGTTCAAACCCACTAGCCACTCTGCAGGATAAAGATGAGACTGTCTGCTCCCGTGAAGGTTTACAGTCTCAGAAACCCTAAGACAGTTCTACTCTGTCCTATAGGGTCACAATGAGGTAGAACCAACTTGATGCCAGTGGGTTGTCATCAGCAAGGACTAGCCCAAATGGTTAACATTCTTGTTACTAACCAAAAGACTGCAGGTTTGAGGACACCCCCAGAGGCACCTTGGGAGAAAGACCTAGTGATCTACTGCTAAGAAAAGCAGTCACTGAAAGCCCTCTGGAGCACACATCTAATGTGATTCTCATGGGGTTGCACAGATTCAGAACTCACTTGACTTTAATTATCAAAGGCTAAAACTGAGCTACCCACTAGAGGGCAGTCTAGTGTGGGACAGAACACCATGAGTAAAGGCAAACCTAGGAGTCCTGGTGTGGCGCTATAGAATTTAAGTACTGGACCATGAGGTCCAGTTTGAACTGCAGGATTGATGATTCAAACCCACCAACTGCTCCTTGGAAACCCTAAACAGAGTCGCTATTAGTCAGAACCACTCCATGGCACCTAACAACAACAAACAACAGGAGGCCAGTCTACATTCAGTATCCAATTGAGGTTTAACAAGACCTAAGATGGAGTTGGAGCTCTGGTAGCGTAGTGGCTATGAATTGGGCTGCGAACCTTAAGGTCAGCGGTTCGAAACTACCAGCCGCTCCGCAGGAGAAAGATGAGGCTTTCTACTCCCGTAAAGATTTACACCCTCGGAAACCCTGTACAGGGTCGCTATGGGTCGGAACCGATTCGACGGCACTTAACAACAACAACAACAACAAGATGGAGTGCTGGTGTGGTACTGTAGGATACTTATCCTGTACTGGACTGTTAGATGCAAGGTTGATGGTTCAAACCCACGAGTCACTCCTCAGAAATCCTATATAGAGTTACTATAAGTTGGAACCTACTTGTTCAACTGCTAATGAAAAGTTAGTGGTTTGAGCCCACCAGCTGCTCTGTGTGAGAAAGATCTGGCCGTCAGCTTCTGTAAAGATCCACAGCCCTGGAAACCCTATAGGTAGTTCTACTCTGTCCTCATAGGTTTGCTAGATGTTGGAATTGACTTGATCAAGGCCAAAGGTTTGAATATTTTTAGTGTGACAGGTAAAAAGATGGTGTATGAAGGCAGCACAGAGAGAAAGCTTCACAGATACTAGGATAAGAGAGCTAAATCCCTTCTTCAAAAGCAATCTTTTTTTCTGATTATAAATATGGACTTAGTTTAGAGCGTTTAAAAATGTTATTGTTAAATGCATTTGAGTGGGTTCCAACTCATAGCAAACCTGTATAAGGTTTCCGAGGAGCAATGGGTGAGTTTTAACTACCAACTTAGAGTTATATAAAGAAAAACATAGACATTACCCCTACTCTCAGTTCCCAGGAGTTTTGGTGTGGTGCTATAAAATAAGTGCTGCACCACTAACAACACAGTTGGTGGTTCAAGCCCACAAGCCACTCCTTGAAAACCCTATATAGGGTTACTATGAATTGGAACTGACTTGATGGCACTTAACAACAACTCAGTTCCCGGAGAAAACCACTCTCAATATTTCAGTTTTATTCCTCTGAACCCATTTCCTACATTTATCTGTCCATTTGCATGCGGTTTTGTGTCTACTCACTGTGTCTCTTTTTATCTTTTCTTCCATCCATCTAATAGTCCATTTGTGATCTTCTATGTATTGATGTGGGTGTATCTATAGCTAAACAGATTTGGGATTGTGCTGCATTGAAAAAGATATCAATTTCTATCAAGTAAGTGGGTTCTGACTCATGGTGACCCCATGTATGTCAGAGTAGAATTGTGCTCCATAAAGTTTTCGAGGATGTGACCTTTCAGAAGCAGCTCGCCAGCCTTTTGTCTGAGGTGGCTGTGAGTGGATTTGAACCTCCAACCTTTGGGTTAGCAACTGAGTGTATTGTCATTTGTGCCCTCCAAATACTCAGTGCTGCTTGTAGTGTTGTTTTAAGTGTGTTGAGTCGTTTCCAACTCATAGTGACTCTATATAAGGTTTATGAGGTGCAGCTGGTGGGTTTAAAACTGCAGACCTTGTGGTTCACAGTCCTGTGCTAATCCTACAGCACCGCACTAGGATTCCCAGTGCTGCTTGTGGAATTGTATATGTCTCTTTCTCGGTTAAGATTACATCTTAAACATTTCCCATATTGTTAAAATATTTTCTGCAGGATTGAGGAGGGCAAAGGAGACTTCCTCAGAAAGGATAGGGAGAAGTATGCTCCCAAAGGAGAGAGTAGCATGTATACATTTAGAAGAGAGAGAAACAGCAGGGTGAAGGGATAGTTGAAGCTGAAGTTGAAAGTGTTATTAAATACTTAGCTCTCAGAGCCCACGATGGATGTTGAGAAAAATCTAACTAGTAGACAAAGGAGTGCAAAATGAGAAGAGGAGGGAAACAACTGTCACTTTTATCACTTGAGGATTACAAAGGAAGGTAATAGCAATAGCAGTATAGTCATGTTTGCCTCTGCTGTCTTGTCTCCACAGAAATGCCTCAAACTGGACCCCACCTTCGCCAGTGCCACTTTACTCTTTCAGAAAGATCCCCCTGCCAACGTCCAACTCTTCCAAGTGAGTACCAGACAGTGTGTGGCTACATTTTCCTGAATGGCCAATGATGCTAATTATTGGAGAATGATAAATGTAAATGTTATATAAGTGTATAAAGCTCCTCATCCTGTGGAAAGTATCCAGTGAAGAAAATTGGAATCATATTGATGTCAGTATAGATATCTTCCCCTTTCTCTCTTGGGACAGACTCTTTTCATCACTTCCTCCTTAAATAAAGATGATATTTTCACCTTATCTTTTGTGTCCTCTCTTTAGGACTAATGCATTAGTGCCAGACGTCCTCTTCAGCTCTTCCTTCTTTCTTTCTTTCCTTCCTTCCTTCCCCTTTCTCCCTCTTTTTCTTAACCAATGGCAATCTTTTTTGTGTATATATATGACCATTTTATTGTAGTTTGAATGAAAGTTCACAGAGAAAATGAGCTTCCCATTCAACAATTTATATACATATTGTTTCAAGATATAAGCTGTAAATCCCCTCAATATGACAACATTCTTCCAACTGGGCTCCCTGTTTACTATTATTACTGGCCCTTCTTTCCTGTCCCTTCCTGCCTTCTGAACTGTTTTGGGTCAAATGCTGCCCGATGGGTCTTGTATGTATTGTTCTGAGGAATACTTTCCTCAAAGATGTTGCTGTTCACTATATAGGCCTATTGTTTGACTGAAAGGTCATCCACAGGGGTGGGTTCAATTCCAGGTTTGAGGGGTGTCTAAGGGCAATAGTCTTGGGGTTCCACTAGACTCTGTCAGATAAGTAAGTCTGTTTTTTCTTTTTTATGATTTTGAATTTTGTTCTCTAATTTTCTCTCACACTAAGACATTCTATTGTCATGTCAGTCAGAGCCATCAGTAGTGGCAGCTGGGCACCATCTAGTTCTTCTGGTCTGTGGTTTGTGTGGGCCATTAGTTCTTTAGACTCATTGTTTCCTTGAGTCTTTCATTTTCTTCCTTCTTCTGTGCTCCAGACAAGGAAAGACCAATAGTTACATCCTAGATGGAAAGCTTTTAAGACCCTAGCCATTAACCCACCAAAGTAGGATGTAGAACATTATAATTGTGGACTATGTTATGCAAATTGACCTTGAAGTCCCCTGAAACTATGTACTCTGAATGCATCCAATCTTATCTGAGAAGCTAATCAGGGCCAGGCCTGGTTAGTACTTGGATGGGAGACCACCTTGGAATACCAGGTGCTGTAGACTTTTGGAGTCTTGGTGTAGCACTGCAGGATAATGTGCTGGACTGCAAGATCAGTTTGAACTGCAAAGTTGGCAGTTCAAACCCACCAGCTGCCCCTCAGAAACCCTGTACAGGGTCTCTATGGGCCAGAACCGACTTGATAGCACTTAACAATAACAAAAACATATATTTTTAAATGTACCCACATATGTCATCTCATTCCTGTTCCTCTTGCATATCTGCCTATGGATCTACTTGTAAATTATGTTTGTTATTACTGCTATTGTAGGATTATGTAAGTAATATTGTTGTTATTGTTAAGTGTTGTCCAGTCAGTTACAACTCATAACAACCCTGTATAGGGTTTCCGAGGAGTGGCTGGTGAGTTTGAACGACTAACCATGCAAGAACATAGCATATTTCTGTATCCAAGGAGCTCTGGTAGCGTAGTGGTTACGAATCGGGCTGCGAACCTTAAGGTCAGCGGTTCAAAACTACCAGCCGCTCCGCGGGAGAAAGATGAGGCTTTCTACTCCCGTAAAGATTTACACCCTCGGAAACCCTGTACAGGGTCGCTATGGGTCGGACCCGACTCGATGGCACTTAACAACAACAACAGCCCTCTTTTGTGTGTTCCTTTATGCAAGATACTATGCAGTGACCCTATGACCACCATAATCAATTACTTCTTACATGACTTTCTGTTTCCTTCTGCTCAGTGCTGCTACTGCCCTGTCCAGCCTTACTCTTAGGTTTGCTCTGTGGTCTGGCCTGAAGCTCGCCACAGTTACCCCCAAGGCCTCTAGGGGGCAGTGTTCCCAGCAGCTCAAACTGACTTTTGACCATGTTGTTCTAGGAAGTGCCCAAGGGTCAGTCTTTGGAGGACATGGTGGGCCGGCCCCTACCACACTTGGCTGCCTCCATGCAGGCCTCTGGGGAGGCCGTGTACTGTGACGACATTCCTCGCTATGAAAATGAGCTATCACTCCGACTGGTCACCAGCACCCAGGCGCATGCCAAGATCAAGTGAGTGTAGGAAGGGGAGGAGGGGGTCTGGGACCACCAAAAGGCTTTGTGCCTCTAGCCAGGCACTGAAGACAGAAAAATACAAAGGCTTCTTCAGACTTTAGGGCAGAAGATAGCACAGGTACCTTTGAATATCACAGTCTGGAGAGAAGCAGAAGAAGGTAGCGCCCCAAAGGTGCTTCAGGGAGAAAAGGGTGAAGTTGGAGGCCAGATTGGGAAAGACCTAATGCACTAAATGGGAAGATCATAAGAGTATTTGGCCCAAAGAGCAGTTAGCAGAACAAGGGTAGATTTGCATTGTAGATATTGTGCTAATACTTAAATGCCAAATTTCAGGAGAACTTGAGTCCTACTCAACCACGATGTTCAATTCGGACAGACCTGAGTTTGAATCCCTGCTCCAGTACTTAGTAACTTTGGCCTTGGCCTGTGTGTTTAAGCTCCCAAGGCCCTCGTCTATGACAGGGTGCTGCTTTGATTCCTAATGGAGTATGCAAAGCCCTTAGCACAGAACAGTCACTCAGACATGAATGTTGAACTTAGAGCCTGAACGGCAGGGATTTGCTACTTTGGTTATTATTGGGTGCTGTTGAGTTGATTTTTGACTCATAGCGACCTCATGTGACTGAGTTGAACTATCCCATAGGGTTTTCTTGGTTGTAATCTTTACTAGAACAGCTTGCCAGGTGGATCTGAACAGTCAACCTTTTGGTTAGCAGCCTAGTATTTAACTGTTGCGCCACCAGGGCACTTTAATAATAACAATCCCTAAGGAGCTCTGGAAGCGTAGTGGTTACGAATCGGGCTGCGAACTGCAAGGTCAGCAGTTCAAAACTACCAGCTGTTCCGTGGGAGAAAGATGAGGTGTTCTGCTCCTGTAAAGATTTACTCCACGGCACACAGCCACCACCAATATCCATCACATTTACTATTTGCCACATTCTTGTTTACAGCATTTTACATATATTGTTGTTGTGTTTAAGTGCCGTCGAGTCGGTTCCGACCCACAGCAACCCTGTATAAGGTTTCCAAGGAGTGACTTGGTGAGCTTGAACTGCTCACTGACTTTGCGATTCAAGCCAGTTTTGCTGTCCAGAGCCTTAACCACAGCTCCACACCAGGACTACATTTATTACACATCTTAGTTCAGTAATAATATTAATCCCTAACATTCATGTTGCTTATTATTTGCCATATTCTTATTTAGTTTTACATATATTAGCTCAGTTATCCCTCAGAACAACCCTGATATTATCTCCACATTCTCCTTGAGGAAACCAAGGTGCAGGCAAGATAAAATCACTTGCCTTGGGTCACACAGCTGGTAAGAGGCAGAGCTGGTGTTTGAAGCCAAACAACATTAGCAACTGTGTTATGCTTCCTCCAGGTGGTAAGGACAGAGAACTGTGAGTTCTATTTCCTAGTAAGCATTGGATACTTGCCCTGCCAAACAGAGCATCTTGGGAAAAACCTCCCTCAGGCCATGGCATGGAATAGGAATCAGAGTGTTGATCTTTTGTCTGCCTGATGATCCTAGCCTAGAGAATGGTGTACAAATGCAGATAAAATTTAGCAAACTCTTCCAGGTCTATGGGAGAGAAAAAAAGAAAAGAAAAACACACATGCTTAAATTGATATGGTTGCCAGGTATATGGCAAAATTCATTTGGCTCTGCCCTTGGCTGGAGCCTGTACTGACATAGTGTGAGCATCATGGCTTCCACTGCCTACACTCAAACAACTTTGTGCCATCTAAGCAATGTCTGAACACGTGTAGGAAGATGGGTAGACTTCATCATAATTGCAGCAACCTGGCAGTATGGCCGAGCAGTAATGGTCCTAAAGTGGCTACTCTTCACACCTGCTAAAGCAGTTTTGGTGTTGAGCCGATTCTGACTCGTGGTAACCACATGTATGTCAGAGTAGCACTGTGCTCAAACGGATTTTCAGTGCTTCATTTTTCTGAAGTAGATCTCCTGACCTTTCTTCTGAGGTGCCTCTGAGTGAGCTTGAACCTCCAGCCTTTGGTTAACATCTGAACACATCAGCCGTTTGCATCACCAAGGGACTCCCTTGTACTTTATTTCAATTTTAATCCCAGTTATGTTGCTTTCTGGTCATGTGACTTTGGACAAAGGATTCAACTTCCCTGTGCTTGATTTCCGTAAATGTAACATGAGAATAATGATAACTGCTTTGTGGGGTTCTTGTGAGGATTTAGTTGTTTGGAAAGTGGTTGATACTTCATAGCAGTTTTTATACCTTTTCCCAAGATGCCTCTGCTCTATTTCCCTGGGTGGGCATTGACCAGAGTGATCAGGGCATGGTTTAGATTACTGTAATTGATGATCTCTTCCAGACTCCTCCCTTTGAGGTCTGGATTGCCTAATTATGCCTGGGATGCCCTTCCATGCTTGAATAGCACCATTAGTGTGACATGGGAAACTTGTCTGTGTGCAAACATTGAAAGGCCATTGGATCTGTGATCTAGCAAGGGACCCATTGTGCTGATTTTCAGTGGGAGTTAGCTGGGTGATAGGAGTTTTAGCTGGTGCTCTCTAGAGTAAATGCTCACTAGAATTCATTCCATTTTACTTGGAACAAGCTCCATAGGGTCCTGTTTTACAGTCTAAAATGCTTAGTGGTGCTGTAGGATAAGCACTGGCCTACTTACTGAAAGGTTGGCAGTTCAAACTCACCAGTCGCTCCTTGGAAACCTATACAGGGTCACTATAAGTTGGAACCAGCTCAGCGGTATTTAGCAACAATGGCAACATGCGTAGTAGCATTCAACAGAGTACTCTGTACATGAGAAGCATTTGAGCAGTGTTTGCAGAACAGGGTAGAATGGAATCAAAAGGAATCTAGTAGAAGGTGGAGACAGGAAGAATTAGGGTGGAGGGAAACTGAGCAGGATGAAGCCTTTGTTGTCCAATCAGGTGACGAGTCTGCTGTACTGTAATGCTGACCCCTCATTGTGCCCTTTCTTGCAGGTCCATAGATACTTCAGAAGCTCAGAAGGTCCCTGGGTTTGTTTGCTTCCTCTCAGCTGGTGATATTCCTGGGAGTAATGTAACTGGGATTTGTAATGATGAAACAGTCTTTGCGATGGATAAGGTAAGACTTGGATTTAATCTCCTCCATATGAATGAAATGAAATCAATATTTAAATTTCAACATTTGCTCATTCTTCCACATGCCTAATCTTGAATGGATTATACATTTGCAAATATATTGCAGCCATCATACAACTGGCCAATATTAAGGACAATTGGTAAAGGGATAGAATATGCCTGGCAGTATTTTTAAATTTAATTTCTATTTGTTTGTGTATTTAATTGATGACTGCTGTTTTTACGTAATAGGATGACTCCAAATTTTGTTGTCATTAAAACAAGGCTAATGATTGTACTTGAATTTGCAATCTTGTTCTTAAGGGTATATTAAACCCCTCTATTAAAAAAAACTGAACAAAACAAAGCAGAAAGGACTCCTGATATGGTGCTGTAGGATAAGCAGTGAACTCCTAACCATAGGTTGGCAGTTCAAACCCATCAGCTGATCCTTGGGTATTTAAGAACAACATTAAAAAAAAACAAACAAGGAGGAATGCATTAAACAAACTAAGCAGACAATAAATCACAATATTACCACTGTGTGTACTGATATTTCACTTTTATGAAAGTTTATCTGTTGATCTCAAATACATGGAATTCCAACCCCTGAAAGTTTCTAGGCATTCAAGATGTTGCTGTTAGGTGCCATCGAGTCGGTTCTGACTCATAGTGATCCTATGCACAACAGAATGGAACACTGCTTGGTCTTGTGCCAATCTCACAATCATTGTTACTGCCACATGCCAATCCATCTCCTTTTCTTTTTCTGACCCTCCACTTTATCAAGCATGATGTCCTTCTCCAGGGACTAATCCCTCCTGATAATATGTCCAAACTATGAGAGATTAAGGCTGGCCATCCTGACTTCTAAGGAGTATTCTGGTTGTACTTCATCAAACAAGATAGCTTTACAAAAATCCATCAACTTTATTCATATGATCATTCCCAGTCACTTTATATTTCTAATTCAGATCAAATGTTGCAAATTAGAGTTGGGTAGGTGTTGCTTTGGGGCAAACTTACCTTATTATTTATAATGTAATCACTTTTACGCTTATAATGTAAAAGTGAAAGAGAGATCACAAAACCGTAAGCATGAGATACAGGAATTCCAGAAAAAGAACTCGATAGAACAACTGCTCTACAACTTCAAGAGTCTTTGAGAGCTTTGCTGGCACTTTAGTTAGTAAGAGTTAGCTTGGTTCATGAACCATTGCACTAACCACTCAATAAGTTAATTGGTCCTTAGAGATATTTATCAGACATTTGTATATAAGGCATTGTTTCCTTTTGTCATAAACAACATATTACAAAGAGAAGTTGTATTTGTTAATTGCCATCAAGTGGTTCTGACTCATAGTGACCCTGTATAGGGTTTCCAAGGAGCAACTGGTGGGTTTGAACATCCAGCCTTGTGGTTCAAACTGACCTTGCAGTCCAGTGCTTATCCTACAGTGCCATGCCACAAACCTCATATTACAAAGAGATAGGTTGGACAAAAATCTTTTTGCTGTTTATTTAAGGATGCGGGACAAGAATTTTCTCTGAAGGGGGTCCAATTAGCTTTGATGGCAAGTGGATGATTAAAATTAGTATTCTATAAATCTTGAAAAAAAAACCCACGTTTATGGATATTTAAGTTTGAGAACCAGAATTTGGAAGCTACTGCTTTGGGGGCACCTAGACATGATTGCTGACTTTGAGAATTTTCAGTGTATATCTGGGAAGTAGATCATAGAAGACAGGGTTTGGTGGAAAGAACATGAAACTGAGAGTTAGGACCTAAGATCAAGTGTGACTCTGCCTTCTGAGTTTGAATCTCTTCATATGAAGAACAAGAGGGTTGGAATTGATCCAGGTTGACAAATGTACGTCACGGTGCCATCCCTCTCGTTCTGCTCACGATAGGTATCCTTAATCAATCAACATATTCTGTCTGGTGCTGCCCCTTAACTGACTGCCAGTACTAAATAATCAGAATTGGCCCTTGAGATAAAATTTGTTTGCTAACCCAATACTCATACGATGTCAGCTCTATAGATTCTATATGCTTACAATGAGGCATAAAGCTCCAGTAAATAATATGAGGAAATTAAAAGACCTCAGGACATTCCTAAAATATGACTTAATAGGAGATTGTGCAGACAGGGACTTTTGTTGCCTTCTAGAACAATCTAAAATAATTTGATTTATGAGGAACTCAGTTATGTTTTTAATAATCTGGCTCTGTACCTAGGTAACTTGTATTGGACACATCATTGGTGCTGTGGTCGCCGATACCCCAGAACATGCACAAAGAGCAGCTCAAAGAGTGAAAATCATCTACGAAGAACTTCCAGCCATTATCACAATTGAGGTAACTGACAGTGGGTTGTCTTTGCAAAACAGTGAGCTCCCTGTTCCTACAGATACATTCATTAGGGTGTGCTATAAATTTATACGCAGGTGGCTGGCAATCAAAAGATTGGGGATTCGAGTATGCCCACAGGTGTCTTGGAAAAAAGTCTTAGTGATCTATTTCTGAAAAATCCTTCACTGAAACCCTATGGAGCATGGTTTTACTTTAACGTAATGGGGTTGCCATGAATCAGAATGGAGTTAATGTAACTGGTTTTGTTTTTTAAAGATTTGAGCACCAACTGAAGACTTGATGCTGTTGTTGTTGTTAAGTGTCTTCGAGTTGGTTCTGACCCATAGTGACCCTGTATAGGGTTTCCAAGGAGTGGCTGGTGAGCTTGAACTGCTGGCCTTGCAGTTTAAACTGACATTGCAGTCCAGCGCATTAACCCACAGCGCCAAATCCCTTCAAGTACTGAGCTGCTGTGATCCTATGAAACCTTCTCCATAGTGACCCTAGGAGAGTTTACTTTAATCCTATATATGAAGTTAATAGAGGCTCATCTGTGAGAAGAGAGAGGCAATAGTTCATAGAGCTTCTTTTTCCTCAATCATAAATCACTGCTCTCACCCTGAAAGACAAATTGCTGAAGTTTTTTTTTATTCTTAGGATGCTATAAAGAACAACTCCTTTTATGAACCTGAACGGAAGATTGAGAAAGGAGACCTCAAGAAAGGGTTTGCTGAAGCAGATAACGTTGTTTCAGGTACAACTGCACCACATGGCTGTGAGGATGGGCCAACTCTGGGATGGTAGGGAAGTTCTGGCTTTAAAATTAAATTCAAAGAAGAGGTCTACTTTGAAGCCAGGACAAGGGAAGTGATTTCCTAACCTAGAATACAAAGCATCTGTCTTGGTGTGGTGCTTTAGGATAAACACTGGACTGCTAACCACAAAGTTGACAGTTCAAACTCACCAGCTGCACCTTTGAAACCCAATGTAGGATTGTTATGAGTCAAACTGATTGGACGATACTTAACAACAACATTAACAGAAATAACACAAGTAAATGGTTTTAGCAAACAGAAACTTATCTTCTCACAGCTTATTATTGTTGTTGCTAAATGCTGTTGAGTCGGTTCCGACTCATATCAATCCTTTAGGGGTTCTAAGGAGCAACTAATGAGTTTGAACTGCTGACCCTGTGGTTCAAATGGCTTTGCAGTCCAGTGCATTAACCCACAGAGCCACACAGGCTAAAATTTTGAATTCAGCAGCCTGGCTCGGTTGTTGTTGTGTTGTTAGGTGTCATTGACTCAGTACCGGCTCATAGCAATCCTGTGCACCACAGAATGAAACACTGCCCAGTCCTGCACAACCTCACAATCCTTGCTTGAGCCCATTGCTACTGCCACTGTGCCAATCCATCTCATTTGCAGGGGGTCTTCCTTTTTTTCTCCGACTTTCCACTTTACCAAGCATGATGTCCTTCTCCAGGAACTGGTCCTTCCCAATAATATGTCCTAAGTTTGACAGATAAAAGTCTGGCCACTCTGATTTCCAAGAAGCATTCTGGCTGTATTTCTTCCAACACAGATTTGTTTGTTCTTTTGACAGTCCATGGTACTTATAATGTTCTCCTCCAAAACCATAATTCAAATACATCAATTCTACTATGGGTCCTGCATTAATTTTCCCAGTTTCACATGCATATGAGATTATTGTGATTATGGTCAGGCACACATTAGTCCTCAAACTGATATCTTTGCTCTTCAACACTTTAAAGAGATCTTGTGCAGCAGATTTGCTTAATGCAATATAGCATTTGATTTCCTTACTGCTATTTTCATGAGTGTTGATGGTTGATCCAAGCAAAATGAAGTCTTTGACAACTTCAATCTTTTACCTATTTATATGGATGTTATTTATTGGTCCAGTGGTGAGGATTTTTCTTTTCTTTACATTGAGGTGCAACACATAGTGAAGGCTGTGGTTTTTGATCTTCATTGGTAAATATTTTAAGTCCTCTTCACTTTCAGCAAGCAAGGTTGTATCATCTGCATATTGCAGGTTAATAATGAGTTTTCCTCTGTTCTGATGCCACATTCTTCTTTATATTATCAAGCTTCTCAGATTACTTGCTCAGCATACAGATCGAATAAGTATGATGAAAGAATACACCACTGGTGTACACCTTTCCTAATTTTAAACTATCCGGTGTCCCCTTGTTCTGTTCGAACAACTGCCTGTTCTCTCTACAGGTCCCTCATGAGCACAATTAAGTGTTGTAGAATACTCATTCTCCACAATGTTGTCCATAGCTTGTCATGATCCACACAATCTAAAGCATTTGTGAGTCAATAAAGTACAGGTAAGGTAGCTACGAATCGGAACCGATTCCACGGCACATAACCACAACAACAAGCAGCAACTTTCTGGTATTCTCTGCTTTCAGTCAAGATCCATCTGATGCCAGCAATGACATCCCTCGTTCCATCTGGCTTGAACCTCTGGCAGTTCTCTGTTAATGTATGGTTGCAACTGTTTTTGAAGTATCTTTAGCAACAGTTTACTTGCATGCAATATTAATGATAATGTCCATTGATTTTGACATTACATTGAGTCGCCTCTATTTCTTTTGGACACAAATATGGATCTCTTCCAATTAGTTGTCCAGGTAACTGTCTTCCAAATTTCTTGTCATAGATGAGTGAGTGCCTCAGTGCTACATCAGTTTGTTGAAATAGTTCAATTTTTATTTCATCAATTCCCAGAGTTTTGTTCTTTGCCAGTGCTTTCAGTGTACCTTGTACTTCTTCCTTTAGGATCTTTGACTCTAGAGCATATTGACTCTTGAAATGGTTAAACATCTACATTTCTTTTTGGTACAGTGACTCTGTGTATCCCTTCCATCTTCTTTTGATACTTTTTGTACATCCAATATTTTGTCCATAGAATCCTTCAAAATTGTAAGTCCAAGCTTGAATTTTTTCTTTAGTTCCCTCAGCTTGAGAAATGCTGAGCATGTTCTTCCTTTTTGCTTTTTTAACTACAGGTCTTTGCACATTTCATTATAATATTTGACTTTGTCTTCT